ACTGGTCCATAACACATGGCACTCACTCCATATTCTAGTCAATAACTCCACTTGTCAAGACTCCTCAAGTGGCATTAAGAAATATTAAAGCAGTAAACCATGCCCCTATATCATTCCATGTTGGGGGGAAGATATAAAGTATACAGACACGGAGATATTGTTGATCTGCAGAAGTCACACATGATAATCAATGTCTGCTTCAATTTGCTTTACATCAATCAATGGTTCGGCAGAGAAGATTACATATGCATCCAGTTTTGGCACATTTCCAGCACAACCACAGTATAAAGAACTTTATCAACACAGCTAGGGGTGATAATACCAAACAGATTTTGTACTTGAATGAACATATCTATGCTACTCCTTGTACAGTACTTTGCATTTAATTAGGGACAGACCACATTACATTATGGGGGAAGGAGAAGATGCTATAACATCCTCACTAAAAGACAGTATCTTACTGTTGTTAAACAAAAGGTCAAATGGCATCTTTTTGACTCATATTCCTCCCGTACCTACCTGTCTAAGTCAATACTGATTTGTCCCTTGTCTGACTCCTCACCTTGCTGCTGAAGAGGCTGTGCTTGAGGGCCTAATCCTGCAGGAGTTGGAAGCTCCCCTGCTTACAGTAACACCCAGGGTTTGAGGCATGTTTATATTACAGTGCCAGAGTACACACACAGTTTGGCAGGTATACATACAAGATTGCAGATTAGGTCTCTTGATTTATCACCCAGGTGATAAGAGGTGGGGGCACTGTTTATGCTGAACAGGAGTCAATTGCATCCAAAAGCTCCCTAAAAACTGGTTGAGTCAAGCTGTTGATGTCCCGCTATACTCAATTCTTCATAAGATTTGTATAAACGAAGGTTACTGGTAGACCTATCAATCAACAAAGGCTTCCACTTGCACAAAGTCATCCATACTATACATTATTACAAGAAAGGGTGTCAAATTTAGTTATTTTGGATCAGTTAATTTCACTCCTAGATCAACCTCTTTTTTTAAAATCCTAATCAGCCTTGAATGTGAGACTGTGTCATTTTGGCATACAAACCACCGAACAACATGGAATCTAGCAATACAGCTTCTTTTCTCTAATAATACCTACTTCCAGATACTAGTACATTTTGTGTATCAACTTAGTCAAGTTTCTCTCATAACTGTATTGCTAATACCATTATTTTGCTAAAGAAGTCCATACACAATGAGCTGCTAATTAA